GGGGTCGGGAGGAGCAGGGCTGGCCGGAAGGGGGTCAGGAGGAGCAGGGCTAGCCGGGAGGGGGTCAGGAGGAGCAGGGCTAGCCGGATGAGGGTCGGGAGGAGCCGGGAAGGGTCAGAGGGAGTGGGGCTGGCCAGAGAGGGCGGGGCAGGAGAGAATTGGCTGCCAGGAAGTGGGACTGACCCGGGCACAGGCAGATCCCAGGGCGTTTTCCATCCTGCGCACGGTCCTGGCAAAGCACGAGCGAGTCTGGCTATTGCTCCACAACGCGCTTGAACAGCGCTCAGGAGCACGGACAGGGCTTCTCCTCCTCCCCAAGACGCAACCAGAGGCTGCCAGCGCCGGTCGCTCCCCGCCTCCCAGCCACCTTCCCCCGCCCCCACCTGGCTTCCATCGGGCGCCCAGCCGGAAAACCAGAACATACCGGACATTACACATGTCCGGTATGTTCTGAGGGGTTTTTTTAACCGGACAGAGGGCCCCAAAACTGGACTGTCCGGTGGAATACCGGACACCTGGCAACCCTATCCAGAGGTCCCAGGTTCGATTCCACCCGCAAACAACCGGAGCCTGTCGACGTTCCACCTGCACGAACGTGGGCCCACGCGCAGACGACATGCAACACGGTATTTCAACAAAAGCCCAACCCTGGAGTTTGGACCGAACGCAATGGCGCAGGGGGCCTTGCGAGTCGCGGGAGGGGGAGGGGGCCTCTCCAACCCCGTCACTCGTCCGCAGCTGCACCTACGCCAGAGCGACTCCTGCATTCTCACTGCATTTGGGAGGAGTAGGAAACTGGCCGCTAGTTTGCATCTTATGGGCAAAGGCACTGCAGAGACTGCACTCTCCTCCTCCAGGGGACAATAGGTTGGACGTATTCACCTTCGAGAGCCGGTGGAGGGCCGTCTGCTTCCCGGCAGGGACATAGCAACGGCACTGCGGGTGCTGGGAAGGAGGTAACCGGCGCTCCAGCTAGACAGAGAGACAGGAGGAAAGAGAGTGAGAACTGGAAGGGGAGGGGGGAAACGTCCCTAGACAGACACCCCCGCGGGAGAGCTGGAGCAGGCTTTGGGAGCTCTCCGGGGCAAAGGCCGGCTTTGTCTGGCGTGTGCGCCGGAGCTGGCACTTTGGACCTGCGGGTTGCTACATGGAACACAAGCAGACGACAATGGAAGCACCGTCAGATGCGCAGCCTGCCCAGCGCCGGGGAAAGGCCACCTGGGAGCAGGCCCCGGGCCCTGCCGGAGGAGCTCTGCTGAGTTCCGCTCTACGCAGACTTGCTCCAGAACGTGTGTTTCCATTCACCATTCCGGTGGGTTAATCACCCTCCTTCGGTTTTATCGCCACCCGCCCCGCTCCCGTCCTCTGCTCTGGGCCTTTCACGCAGGGCTCTCAAACCACTTCATCGATATTAGCCTCCGTCCCCCCCGCCCAACTTTCCTCCTGTGTCACAGAAGAGAAACTGAGGCCAGAACTGAAGCCACTCGCCTAAAATTTCACAATGAATCAGCTGGCCGATGGGGAGTAGAAGGCAAGTCCCTAGCTCCCAGCCTTAGCTAGATCCCCCTCTCCTGTTGGAGCCAGAGAGCCGATAACATGCATGCCTCAAGAGGGGATATAGTCTCCTGCTATTTTATTCCTCAGTTAAATAAAAATCATCCATGGCACAAAGAGATCAGACGTGCCAGGCAGGGCAGCATGCGCAGAGACTCTTGTGAAGAAAACAAATGGGTCTGTTTGTAATGCACATAAGGAGCCTGCTTCACTGAAGACAATCCGAATTTTTCCTTTGGATCAGGCTCTGGACTAGGAATAAGGAACTGCAAGGGACGAGAAATCTAGAACACATGATGGCAGCACCTAACTTCTCCCAAGAGGTGTTCTAGAGCAATGGTTCCCAACCAGGGTAAGGATATTAAATTGCATTTAATCAGCTAATCGAGTAGTCGATAAGGGAGGGAACTGCAGAGCCACAGCGCCCGATTCCCCCACCACGCCTCGGCCTCCCATGCCCCCTATGGGAGATCTTGTGGGGGGGGGGGACCAGCTTTTAAGCCAGCTCACTCCAGCACCAGCACCTGCTCCCTTCCCCTTGCTGCTTCTGATAAGAGGCAGGAAGGGGTGGGGAGAAGCGATTAATCACTGGGATGGGTTCTCTCTGACTGGACATTTTCAACTCCAGACGGGCTAGTTTTCTGGACGATCAGCTCCATTTCCAATAGAAATTAATTCAGGGAAGCTCCACAGCCCATCTCAGATAGGACACCAGCCTCGATCAGCAGCTGACAACCTGTCCAGACAATTGTACCGTCAGGAGTGTGAGCTGTCTCACTTACCCCAAGTTGCTCCTCACTTCCCAATGACTTGCTTACCCAATCAGACCTACGAACACAAAAGCTGCACTGAAAAATGGCCGATTTCTCGCTTTTACCGTATAATTATAAAATACATCCATTGGAAGGTAAAGATGGTGCCTACATTCCAGTGTATTGTATACAGGGCAGTACGTACAAGTCAGTATTTGTATGACATTTTAGTTTGTATTGACTTCACTTATGTTGTTTCTATTTGTATGACATTTCAGTTTGTATTGACTTCACTTATGTTGTTTAAGTCGCCTGTTGTAAATCTAGGCACATCTCTAGATGATCTGAGGTCTTCCCTCTTTGCCCCCACCCCAAGAGACCTGCGTGCACTCCAAAGCGTTTGTGTATCCCTGGTTGAAAACCACTGGACCAAAATGACCACAACCATCCCTTTGGCCTTATAATCGATGAATACCGTGCCTCTTTTACATTCCCTCCTGTTCACACGCTATCCAACATACCATACACCTATGGAAAATATGACCATGTCTCTACTAAATGCAAGATTGACGCTGCCACGATTGATCTTCCGGAGTTTGATTTAGCGGGTCTAATTAAGACCCGCTAAATCAAACTCAGAAGGCACCCTTGTTGGCAGCAGGTACTCCCGCGAGGAGTAAAGGAAGCCTACAGCAGTCTTTGCTCCCATCGGCCTCCTGTTGTGGGAATGGCGGGGAAACTCAAGTCAAGGTATGTCGACTCCAGCTACGTAATTAACAGAACTGGAGTTGCATATCTTGATTCGACCTTCCCTTTTAGCGTAGCCTGGCCTAGGACTGCTCTGCGTCCCAGTCAGTGGGTCTCCTTTTGGCTCCCACCAGGCCTCCTCTGCCCCACAAGGGAAGAGCAGCTGAGACAAGCTACAGTTAGTGCCGCTGTCCTTGACCTGTTTCCCCCCTGCATGGAAAGTGCTGCCAGCATCCCTTATGTCAGCGAGGCACGAACAAGCAAACCAGCCATCGAATAATCAATAGGGTGGCTAGTGGAAACACTAAGTGCTGGCTGGGCCATGCTCCTTGGGGGAGGGGTGTGGCAGGAAAGGAAGGGAGGAAGGAGATGATCAGGGATGGAAACAATGGCAGCTGAAGGGCTTTCCATCGTTTTTGGTAGCTCATCGCCCTCCTTCTAACAATCCCATATGAAGAGAGATTAAAAAGACTTGGACTTTTCAGCTTAGAAAAGAGGAGGCTCAGGAGGGATAGGAGAGAGGTGTTAAAAAAAATCATGACTTGTGTGGAAAAAGTGAACAAGGAAAAGTTATTTACTTATTTCCACAACATAAGAACTAGGGGTCACTAAATGAATTTAATAGGCAGCGGGTTTAAAACAAACAAAAGGAAGTTTTTCTTCACTCAGCACACAGTCAACCCGTGGAACTCCTTGCCGGAGGATATTGTGAAGATTAGGATTTTAACAAGGTTCAAAAAAAAGAGCTAGATAGATTCATGGAGGTTAGGTCCATCAATGGCTATTAGCATGGTTTGACAAACTGCAGCAAAATCCACTCACCAGCCCCGCACTGCGCATGCACCAGACCTGCATTGCACATGCGTGCGCTGCCGGTGAACGGGGCGACTGGCTGAAATCTACTCGCCACAGGCGAGTACACGGATTTGTCAAGACCTGGCTATTAGCCAGGATGCGTAGGAATGGTGTCCCTTGACTCTGTTTCTCTGGAAGTAGGTGATAGGGGAGGGATGACATGAAGATTACCTGTTGTGGTCCCTCCCTCTGGGGCATCTGCTATTGGCCACCGTCGGCAGACAGGACACTGGGCTAGATGGATCTTTGGTCTGACCCAGTCTGACCGTTCTTATGTTCTCTCTCCTCCCCCAACCTCTTTTTTCTGGAAGCACCAACTAAGGCAAATTCTGCCTGGTGCCTGGGACTGCAATGTCATTCCTCATGGCTTCCCCCACTCCCGCCACGCCCAGCACCTGCACAGAGGGCTCCCAAACCAACAGGGCTGCAATGGTAAAGAATCTAAAGCACAAACCACCAATAGACACCAAATCATAGAACACCCGAACTGGCAGGGCCCTCGAGAGGCCTCGAGTCCATCCCCCTGCCCTCCTGGCAGAACCAAGCACCATCTAGATCATGCCTGCCAGGTGTCTGTCTAACCTGATCTTCAATATCTCCAGGGATGGAGATTCCACAACCTCCGCGGGCAACCTATTCCCGTGTTTAACCACCCGGACAGGTAGGAAGTTTTCCCTCAAGTCCAACCTAAACCTCCCTTGCTGCAGTTAAAGCCCATTGCTTCTTGTCCTGTCCTCAGAGGCCAAGGAGAACAATTTTCCTCCCTCCTTCTTGTGACACCCTTTCAGATACTTAAAATCTGCCATCATGTTCCCTCTCAGTCATCTTTCTTCCAAACTAATCAAGCCCAATTCTTTCAGCCTTTCCTCGTCGGTCATGTTTTCTAGATCTTTCATCATTTGTGTTGCTCTTCTCTGGACCCTCACCAATTTCTCCACATCGTTCTTGAAATGTGGTGCCCAAAAACTGGACACAATACTCCAATTGGGGCCTAATCAGCACAGAGTAGAGCAGAAGAATGACTCTTCGTGTCTTGCTCACAACACTCCCGTTCATGCAGCTCAGAATCAGGGTTGCTTCTTTTGCAACAGTATCACACTGTTGACTCATTTAACTTGTGGTCCACTATGACCCCTTGATCGCTTTCTGCTGTATCCTTCCTAGACAGTCGCTTCCCATTTTGTACATGGGAAACGGATTGTTCCTCCCTAAGTGGAGCACTTTGCATTTGTGCTTATTGAACTGCAACCTATTGACTTCAGCCAACGCCCTGAGCCCCGGAGCTAGATCAGCAGCCGCGGGGGCGGGTGGCCGTGCCCTCATTCAGGCCTGCAGGACAGAACAGCTTGAGGTGGGAAGCTGGGGTGGCAGCAGCCAGGTGTGAAGGCTGCAGGGGGACGGGCCATGCTGGATGAAAGCTTCTAGCTCAGCTGTGCTCACGCCCTGGTCTGCTTCCCGAAGCCAGGCGGTTGCAGGGGCTTTGCAAATACCCCCCCCAGTCGGTCAGCACCCGGCCTCACGCTGCCACAGAGGCATGCCCCACGGCGTGGCGGGGGATTCCGGTGGCAGCCCTGGAGCTGGGGACTGCGCTAGATGGTTCCAGGCGCAGCACTGGGCTACAGAGAGGGAGGGCGTGAATGGCAGCCGCCTGGAGAGAAATTGCTCCTTTTGCCAACTGTTTTAAGACCAGCTGGTACCTGCAGGGGTTGCTGCACGTGCCAGACAAGGAAATCCAGGCCAGGCAGCGGCTGGCTGGATCCCAGACGAGCCCCACCGCTACCCAGGAAGCCCAGCCGTGTGCAGTTCCTGGCTCTGCCACTGACCGTCTGCAGCTTGGAACTTGCTAGACCACTCTGCCTTGAGGCCCCATGTGTAAAATGGGGGTAAGAGCCCTTCTGTCACAGGCCAAACACTCACCCCCCACGGCGCCTCCTGCTGGTCACTTGGGGAATCCGCTACCCTGCCCCTCAGTGCCGCTGCTGGCCGCTGGCCCAGCCTCTGGTGCAGCTCCATGTCCCTTCCTGCCCAGAGAGCCCTTCCCACCTACTATTGCCCTAGGTCAGTGCCCCTGCACTCAGGGACCCCCCTAGACCCACCTTGCTTCAGTGACCCACAGCCAGTCATCTAGCCCCTGCCTCAGGGACAAACTGCATCTGCAAAGGTCACTCAGCATCTGCAAGGGGTGCAGATCTGCTGCCTCCCTGCAGCCCTAGGACCCTCCGGCCTTGCTTCAGGCCCTGCAGCCTG